TAACCGTTTTCTGGTTTGTGTGTTTCACACTAGTTCATGATAGGCCTTAGTACTAATGATGAAAACTTTTGTGATGTCTAAGTCAAAGACTAGTTGATGTAGGGCATATGCATAGGGGAAAATAATTTTTTTCTAGGATATAAAACGTGGTAGAGAGAAAAGATGGATAAGATAGTACTCAAATTCACTTCAGTTCCTAGTCATCACTTGTGGGGTCCTGGCCTCACTTCAGATGCACCTCACACATGGATGCTGGTGTCACACTATTGGGCATAAATGCTAGAATCTCATGGCTCTACGAGGCACTTCTAGGGATAATGATCTCTGTAACTTGGGAAAAAATTCAATCATTTATGTTTAAGATTATAAACTTTTCCTTTTTAATAGACCCCAAGTACAAGAAGACAAAGAAATACAAATATCTCATAGACCAATCCTGTGGAATCTTCACTTCTATTTCTGCTTCAAAGAGATGGTTTTTCTATTAGCAATATTTTTGATTGAGGTTATTTTTAGTTCATTCCGAACTTCTTTAGTTGATAATATTTCAAGAAATAAAATTACTACAAACATAAAACAGAACTAATTGCTCCAGCATCACTAATCACCTGATACCTGTTGAATTCTTATTGGCTGATAAAATTTTATGTTACTATGTCAGTCTCTTTAGATGCTTTTTTTGTGAATTCGAAGTTCCCTTGATATCTAGGTCATGTTTACTTTTCTTTCCCAAATATCAGGAGCTGTTAATACACATTGCAGAATAAGAAACCAATACATTCTGTTAATTCTGCTTGTACTCTGTCAAGTTTGTTCTTTCTCATTTTTTGAATTTTATATTCCTATTTTTAGTTTTTTATTAAAAAAAACTTGTTTGAAGACAATTTTTAATAAATCTTGTTTTCTTCACTTAAGGATGAATATCAGCTCATAAGAGAGTGTATCTGTGGACAAATTTATGATTCTAGTCCTGTGGACTTCACTGCTGAATTGGCTACTCGATTTCTCCATCACACTTCTCAGAGATTGTTTAGCCCAACAAGAATAACGTCATGGATGACAAAAGTCGTGACATCTAGTCTGGATGCTGTTTTTCTAAGTAGATTTGAAGCACAGCGTGCTGAATATTGGCAGAGTTTGTACTCATCAGTTGTAATGATCTATTTCTTTATGTTCAAGTCTTTTTTACTACATCCAACTAAATTTGTTGATTTTATGTGGCATTTCCATTCACATCTTTTTGGTTTTGATACGCCTGCAGAGTATGGGCCCTTTTCTTATATTTTGTTCGGAGGATGATGACCTTGCCTCTTACCAAATAATCATCAATTTTTCCCAACATCTGAACGAGCTTGGTGGTGATGTTAGACTTGTAAAATGGAGCAATTCCCCACATGTAGGTTAGTCCTTACCTGATTTTCTGCTTTTAATACAACATGAAGATATTCGATGGGAAAATGGTTAAAGGGTCTTTTAGCTAACAAAATATCATTATTTTGCATACCTGATTTTCTGCTTTTAATACAACATGAAGATATTTGATGGGAAATGGTTAAAGGGTCTTATAGCCCACAAAATATCATTAAAGGGTCTTTTAGTCCTTTGCTTTTAATGCAACATTAAGATATTCAATGGGAAATGGTTAAAGGGTCTTTAGCTAACAATATATCATTATTTTGCATCATTGTTAGCATTTGATACCTCTGATGATAACTAGGTCCGAATCATGTGAAACAAATTATATAGTGACTAGCTGTATCAGTAAATCTGGCTTTCTATGTACTGTCACTTTCGAGGAGTGACATGGCTGCAGTCATAAATAGACTTTGATGGTGAATTCAATTAAAGGTTCTAAAATGTCATGTTCATTTGTGAAGATGAAATTCCAAACTGAAACTTACTTGTCGTATGATATGTACTTAAAAATCTTTACAGGTTTTGAATCTTTCTTTTGAGCCCACCTTGGTGTTGCATATGCATTAGGTTTTAGAGGTTTTATACATGTAAAAATATAGTTTTCCTAAAGGTAGTTCTAAAACCTTTTAGTTATTGCTTTTGCTGGGATGCTGGTTTTGATTTTAATAATATTGTTTCCGCTAATAGGAAAATTGATCTCTAATCTAGTGCTTGTCCTTTGATGAGGATTGAAGAAGTATTTGTTCCGTAAACATGTCTGTCGCAGAAACAAAGAAAGTTTGTGGAAACATATATTGGACTTGAAATTTCTGTTTGTGAACTCACTATTAGGAAACTACCATCATATGAATTCTTGAGCAGTTTTTAGTTGTGTCAAGCACAATTTTAAGCTTGTGATAGATCTGGTCCTATGTGTATTTTTTTGTGGTGCTCTTGAAGGGTGTGTCAGAGCCATAGATAATAGCAGCATTTGTCAATCAAGTGCCAACACATTGCAGTTCCTGAATCATACAAGGGAAAAAATAAATGCTGGAAGCCACATGAGAAGGTTGTCCTACCAACTGTCATAAAAGATCATCCCACTTGTACGTCTTCAGACCTTTCCCACTAGCAACTGAAAATACCATATTGAAAGATGGGGTATGCCAAATTACAAGCATATCGTGGCACCAACCTTAGTGTTTGGACTCAATCCGAGCAGTACAGTGTGGCTAATGACTGCTCAAGATTGCCTTCACAATAAATGCTACTATAGACTCATATTTAGGTCTTTCTTGGATTGTGCCTACTTGAACATTTTTTTTATTGCTTCTTTGCAGAAGAAACCAGTTTTGCTATCTACAGCAGTATAACTAACATTCAAAACCTTGACTCTTTTGATATATTTGTGTTCTTTCTTTCTCTGCTGTCAAGATATTTGGATTTCTTTGTAATCTTAAGTTGTTTATCTGTAGGGCATTATAGTCATCACCAAACTGACTACCGCTCTAATCTCGTTGAGTTTCTTGGGAAGGCAGCTACTGTTTTTTCTCAGAGAAGAGTATTTAATGGAGGAACAGAAAACCTCAGAAGTTCCTGTGACAGTATGTTCGAGTCCTCCTGCAGCCTTCACGACGCACTAAGCTCAAGCGAGAGCTTAAGAAGGGTGGCCATTGGACCCAATGATCATTTCTTCCCACCCAGTTCAAGCAGCAAACTTGAAGTAAAAGATGGAAGCTCTTTCCATGATGAGCAGAAGCCTAATTTGTTTACTTCACCCAGCATCAATCCCCATGGATATCTAAGCCAGATCCTATTTGATGTGTGTGTTCCCAAGAATGTCGAGGGCTGGGACATAAAGCCAATTACCTCAAATGGGAAGCAGTCCACCGTATCTGCCCGCCGTCGCGGTCCTTTAAATCCTATAAGATGCATCAGACGCTCAAGATTGTAGACCGTTACACGCGAACTGTAAATATAATTTGATGGAGCTGAATACAACTATCAGCTTGGCAAGGTCTTTGGCAGAGAATCCGGAATCTGATCAGGCTGCTGGTATATTGTGTCTTGCTAATCCCATTCTCCTGTTCTTTCTTTCTTGTTTTTGCCCCTTCTTTGGAGAGTGTATGTAAAAGAAACTTTCTTATGTAGGTGATCGTGTAAAGGTTTCTTTAATAGTAGTCACATAGATAAAGCAATATAGCTTGGCCAAATAGAACTGTGATGTAAATGAAAGGTCAGATTTTGTTCTCAAACATGAGAGCACTAAAGAAACCGAAGCCGATGGAAACCAAAGGAAAGGAAGAAAGAACGGAAGCCTGGCTGTGCTTGCCGGCTTCACCTGCGAGTAGCCTGAGACCACGGAAAGGCACGTAGCTGGGTCCCCCGTGCCTGCGTTTTATGGCCGTCGATGCGTGGCTGAGCGTAACGTGCGGCGTAACTTGTGCTTTCTTTTTCCTTCTTTGCCCGCTTTGGTGGGGGAGGGGGAGGCGGCGGCGGGAGAGAGTCTTGGTCAGACGAAGGTGACGTGTCACGCGCTTACTTCCACCGGCGGGGATAATCCACGCCGCCCGGTGCGGGTTGCATTTGCCAGCCACAACTGAACTGGCGAACGCATCATCGACTCTCCCTCGTGCTTTTACTTTTGGATGATTAGATCCAGACGAGACACACGAAGCAAGAAAGTGAGCGTAATCCAGCGCATTTCGGTAGGCATCCTTAAATTGGAGGAGAACACCAAGTGTGCTCCCTTCAGCCAATCTGGACTTGGGTAAATTACTCAAAAACGTCTATCCCAAACTCAAACAGGTAAATCCGACCAATAATGTTCTTTGTTTTTTTGGTTGCCATTGCGGTGGATGCAAGCACAAGTTACCAATTGGATGTCGTCTGCCATCTTATCCATTCAGTCATCCTCATCGTTTTTTGCTTTATTCATTTTTTGTTCCCTTTCTTTCTGTCTTCCATCGCTCTTCGTTCGGTGGTTGCAGCTGTCGACAGCTGACGGCCGTATTGTCGATGCATACACCGTACACTAAAACCATGTGCTTCTATGAGTAGCTAATGATGGGTTTAGGATAACGATGGATGCATTGATGCTTGATAAATCTTTTTAGATCCTATCTAGTTAAATAATGATGGATCCATTTGAATTATGTATTGATGATTGATATTTTTAATAAAAAAATCATATCTAGTCAAATACTGATGATAATATTTAATATTTTAATATTTTTATGAAATATAATATATATATGTTTTTAATTGAAGATTTTTTATACTATACGTAGTGACTTGATTATATATATATATATATATATATATATATATATATATATATATATATATATATAATATGATACATGTAAAATAAATATATCATAAACTTGGAAGGACTAATAATGGTGACGTGGCAAGTAAACGTTGGTGATCTGTTTCGACCTTTGTCTATTCCACTGTGGTTTGCAATCCAAAGGAGAAAGAACATCACTTTGAGTATCCCCAAGCGTGTACCTAAGCCAGCGTGGCATGTGGATCTGAGATCAACGGTTTGGATCTTCTGACTGTGTCTCCTCCGCGTCTTCCGTGTATTCAAACAGCGTTTCATGAAAACCCAGGGAAAGACGCCATCACATCACGCCCGTTCCAAAGGCCGACCACCTCTTCCGGCCCACTTTCCCTCTTCCCTCCATCATTCGTTCTCTTTCTCTCTCTCTGGAAGGAAGGCGAGGCGAGAGAAGGTAAAGTTTTCGAACGAGGATTCCCCAAATTAATCTATTCTCAGCATTTGGTTTATTCCTCGGTTTCTATTTCTTTTTGTCTCCGATGATTCGCCGCCTCTTTGTCGTAACGATCCGGATACACCGGTGTGATATCTTCTTGCAGTTTCGCTTTTAAGTTTGGTTTCCTCTTGATTGAATCGAGCACTGGAAAGGAGAACGTGAATTGTGCCTTTAGAGAGATTGGAGGAGGATGGAGGAACTCTAGCCGGCGGTGGTGTTGGTCGTTGTGGTTCTTCGAGGATGGCGGCGAAGGCGGGGAGGTCGGTGCCGCTGGGGGTGCTTTTGATGAAGGAGCAAACGAGCGAGAAGATCGAGGATCCGGACATTCTGTATGGGCAAGCCAATCAGAGCAAGAAGGGGGAGGATTTCACACTCCTTAAGGCCGAGTGCCAGCGGGTTCCCGGGGACGGCGTCACCACTTTCTCCGTCTTCGCCGTAATCTTCTTCGCCTCTTCTTGTTTTTGGTCTCTTCCTGAATTCTTGTGCTATTTATGTAATGCGGCTTGCGGTTTTGGTTTTCTAGGGTTCAACGATATAAAAAATTGGGTCTGGCGTCTTGTTTGGTTGTTGTCCTTTGGATGATCGCGATTTGCTAGGGGAATTGCGTTTGATAAATTAGGTGAATACAAATCGACTGTGCTGATGCATACAAATCGAATTTTTGAGAGGATAAAGATCACCATTTCATTTCTTTGTCTTGTTCGGAGTGCCTTTTACCTCTTATAAATTTTGTATTTGCAGTCATCTCATTATGCTCCTTTTTTGATGATTTGAAGGCCATTTACGTTGGAATTTTATGAACTATTAGATCTTTGGATGTTGTTCTTTTTCCTCCTGCATCAAGATTTTGCTCATAATTTGGTTTCAAAATAAAAGAAAAAAGAAATGAAATGAGAAAAAATGATTTTGTTGTGCATTTTTGCCATCTGTTAATTTCCTTTTTATATAAACACAACAAAAGAACAACACAGTGAACGATGTTAACCGCTTCACTTGAAGAAAAATTCTAGAACAAGCTATAACTGAACTTTTTTGCAGCTGTGCCATTGTTTTCGTGTTCGTATTGGAGTATGTGTTTTCTATAAATTAATATATTACTTTTGATGGTTAATTTTTCAAAATTCTGAAAGGTTGTATATACTATCTGCTTTACATTCTGACTGAGATTTATGTCTTTGAGATTGATGAACCTTAATAAGCTAGAAAAAAACAGTAAAGACATAAAAAAAAAGAAGATGGAATACCTAACCTACTCAAACACTCACTTTTGACAAAATTTATGTTAAGTTCATTGCCCGGAACTAGTTGATTAATACTGGATTTCTGTTCAGGATGTGTAAAATAACATTTGATTTTCCATGATGACAAATAATATCAACATGCCAATTTCACATATTCTCATAATTCCTGACTTCTGGCTGGCCTTCTGTTTCCTTTTGCATTTAGGCCTCCTTCTCACTTGCATGATCGTGATGGTCACTATCTAGCTATGTTTTAGCTTCAATAAACAGAAATTATTGTGTGCAATGGCGACCCCTTCATAAACTGGCTTGTGCTTTATGCTGTATTGCCCTTCCAGAATACCATATAATTCATTAGGAAGGGCACAATAAGCAGCAAACTACAAGTATTGAAATTAAAGATCATATGATAATATGTTATTTCTCTATTTTTTATAAGCAACACCAAGAGGAACTTATCGTCACGGAAAAAAATAACGATTTTACTTAAGATGCTTGAAGAAACAAGAAATGACAAAACAATGTCACAATAAAAAAATTGAAAGAGATGTCACAGTTTAAAAAGGGGATTCAGCAAAATTGAACTGCAACAAAATATTATGTGCTTTAAGCTGTAGCAATGCTAGACCAGTTCACACATATAACTTAAGCAATATTTGCAACTTTGTCACTTGCCCTTTCTGAGTCTACAAGTTGAATTCTCCGTGAACCATCGAAAATGCATGCTTTTCTGTCAAATCTCATCATATTCACTAGATTAGATGTGTCCAGAAACAAATGGCTCTGCTAGCTTAAACTCAAAAATGCATGATTTTCTGTCAAGTCTCATCATATCCACTAGATTAGATGATGTCCAGAAACAAATGGCTCTGCTAGCTTAAACTCAAACAGCACGGAACACTCGCTAAATTGTGAATATTGAATATTGGAAGAAAGTGATGATGTTACCATATTGCATCACACCTTGCACCATGAATAAGCATCCCAATCCGTGTTGATGTTTGCTTTTTGGGCATTTTGGGAGTTGATTGGAAGGGGCTACAGAAATGTGTTCGTTGAGGGGGGCAACAAACTGTCAGTAATGCTGTGGATGTTCCTCTTAAGATGGTTATATTTTATACATTATTAAGAGATGTATGCTAGAAATGTAAAATTGGAAGGTGAACCAGGAAGCTGACTCCCTAGCATAATAGGCTAAGATGTTGTAAGATTCTATTATTATTTTTTATTTTTAGGGCACTATTCCCAATGAGATCAGGTTGTTCTGCTTGCTGATTTCATCGGGCCTCCTACAGATAATGTATTTTATGAATGAAGTTGTAATGTTATGGTACTATAATGGCTTCTTTCAACAAAGGATCTGGAATTTAAGAATGTTAATGACCACCTATTATGTTATTTTCTCTAATTTGTGGTGTATTTCTACTTGTTTTTGCAGTTATTTGATGGACATAATGGTTCTGCTGCTGCCATATACTCTAAAGAGAATCTCTTGAACAATATCTTAAATGCCATTCCTTCAAATCTGAATCGAGATGAGTGGCTAGCAGCATTACCAAGAGCTTTGGTTGCAGGATTCATAAAAACAGATAAAGACTTTCAAACTAAAGGTATGGTTGTAATATCATGTTGCATCTTCTATCTCTCAATTTTTTGCAAGATCAGAATTGCAAATGACTCTTATTTAAACATTTACAGTGTGTATATATTTGTGTATATATATATGTATATAATGTTGAGTTCTGGATTATATTTTTATAGACTGGTATATAAATATTTCGTATAATATGACCATTGTACTTATTGGGCATGTTATGTTACAGTCATTTGCATCGTGTGTTGGTATCACAAAAGAATACTGTTTTGCTGTCATGGTTAAATTTCATTATCTAAAGTAAGCTGTTACTTGGAGGATAACATATTTAAGAGTTCATGTAAGCAAACGCCTAATAACCTTTGCACAAGGACTTGGCTAAGGGATAAGCCTTAGGATGCATAGGTTATGCTTGTATTGAATTCCATATATGCACATATATGATTGTGTACTAACATATCAATATGAATATTTGTTTATGAACGTATCAATCATGCCTGCACGTCCAACAAAACATCTATGTTGTATATTAGCGCTTGGGTTGAGAACAATGCTAGTTTTCATAGTTTCTTCGTTCCCTTTAGCTGTCAAACCAACAGAATTGATACATTTTCCCCACGGAACAAGTCATGGATGTGTGGCTGAAAGAAATCAATTATTTGTTGGATGGAGTTTTGAACCCCTCAACCTCTGGTAACTTGGTCTGGTATACTACCACTAGATGAATGTTATAGTTGTAAAAGTAAGGAACTTCCTATCAACGGTCAAGGCCTTTACCAATGAAGTTAACTGCTCTTGTATATACTAACTGCTGGTTTTACATCTTGATGCAGATATGACAATTAGATGGATTGCTTTATTGTTTATTTTATTAGGATCTCCTAATTATTAGAATGGGAGAAAAGAACAAGCCCTTTCTGTTCCACCTCTGTTTGTGAGAAGGGAAGAAATGAATAAGATCTTTTTTTTCATAAGTATTTTGATTTATATCGTAAAGGAATATCCTCATTCTTGTTCTCTTCTTTGATCCTTTGATAACTTTGGGTACAATGACAAGCAGAAATCCTAATTCACTGTAGAGGTTTCCCATGTGACTTTAATTAGTAGTATATTTTCCAACTGGATAGTTCTTTCATGGTAGCACTGTATTAAACAGTATCTGTTGTAGTATGTGGCGCAGGAATTGTCTCTCTCATTTATGTGAATTTCTGCAAATTTTTGTCTATTTAATCTTATAACTTAGATGAATATTGATTGTGTACTCTCTTTTCAGCTCGTTCTTCAGGAACTACTGTCACATTTGTCATAATAGACGGGTGGGTAGTAACTGTAGCATCAGTTGGTGATTCACGATGCATACTTGAATCTGCTGAAGGTTCTATATATTGTTTGTCAGCAGATCATCGGCTGGATGTTAATGAAGAAGAGTAAGTGGATTTTGTACAATAAATTAATTGCCAAGTACTTTGGTTTCGTCTATTGTTTATACTTCACTATTCCTCAGGGTTGAGCGTATAACAGCAAGTGGAGGTGAGGTTGGGAGATTAAATGTTGTTGGAGGTGCCGAGGTTTTCTTCTGAACATGTTCAAACTTATGAAATAGTCATAGCTATTAAAACCTCATTTTTGTTGATCTGTAATTTTTGATTAAAATTTAACATCATTATGTTATTTCTCTAGTTGTCATTTTTAACTTCCAACGTTCACCATTAAATTTTCTATTCTTTGAACATAAAGAAGCTGGTTGTGTAAGAGTTCATATAATTTATATTGCTTAGTGGAAGCTTCTTCTGTGAAATGGCAAATTATTAGTATTTACATTATTCCCTGTACATGTAAGTCATGGTTTAAGGTCTCAGTTTTTTTATGGTAGTTAGAGAAAAATTTTGCAAAATAAAATAGTGATTATGGTGGTAGTTAAGTTTCAGGATTTTTGTTTCTGAGAAGTTAATAATTTGAAAAATATAACTTCAGAAGAAATGATGTCTACGTTATCGCAAAGGAATCAGGAATGATGTCTACCTTCTGTATGATTGATGAGTTTAGAAAAGTAAAAGTGAGAAATCAAGGCATGTAAGCTGACAAATGTAAACATTTTATTAAATACTGAAAAATAAACAAAATTGTCTTTTCTCTGTGTAAGCATTTTAATAAATACTGTGCCCAATCCATTTAAAATTTTCTGTGTTAAGTTTAATTAATGAAATGTTCTATATGATCATACATTATGATATCTTTATCTTCTAATTCTGGCTTGCTCATAATTCTATTGAAGATCCACTTCTGTGCTAGTATTCCATCTTCCTATCTGCTACCTTATGCTCCTAATGCAGAGAACACTTGCTTTTTCAGATAGGCCCTCTTAGAGTCTGGCCAGGTGGCTTATGCTTATCAAGGTCAATTGGGGATATGGATGTTGGTGAATTTATTGTTCCAGTTCCTTATGTCAAGCAAATAAAGGTATGAGAGCAAACTTGCTTATCTGCCGGTATGTAATATTTTCTGATTTGTAGAAGTTTTTCCCACGTTTTGTGTGCTAGTAATATTGGATGTCAAATCAGATGTTTGTTTAATGTCACATGGTTAGTACATACCATGTGCTGAAGCATACTTTTCTTGACCGAGTGAATTTTCTTGACCAAGTGCCACTCCTTATCATCCATGAAAATATTGGTTTATGTGATAAAATTCTCTTTCTAAAACTCATATTTAATGGGTTTTCCTTAATGTATAACTATCACTTTGGTATTTGAAATTAGTTGTATACCTTTTCTTATACCAATGTCTCTCAAGAAAAGTAAAATAAAATAATGACTTGCAAATTGAAGTTCGTGTTATAGTTTAACAGCTTCAGCCAATTTTCCTGGTTTCTTCTATATTAATCTGTGTTGTTCATTTATCTAAACCAGATTATTCTATAAATAACTGAAAAAAGTCATAATTGATAAATTAAAAAAAAATTCTTGCTAAATTTTAATTTTCAAGAAATAAATGGGTTTTATAGTAAATGATTGTGGCATCAAGGCTTACCATGTGGTACAGTACAAACAGAATTTATTGATTTAATATCTTATCTGTATGTGGATCATGTAAACCAAGCAGTATGCTTGGTACAAGACCTGTACCACCCGATAGAACAGGATCTGTATCACCTACATCAGGCCCTTCATTGGAAATTTTTTTTTGCTTTTTTGTTTTTTAGGCTTTTTTCAAAACTCAGTACAGACACTCATTATGCCAATATGGAGTGGTATGGTACTGGTCTGAACCTTCACCGGTATAATACCATTCACGAAATTGCCACCATGATTTTGTCATAGTATTATGCAGGATAAAAATGAGCTCTGCAAAATTATTGTCAACTTTTATTGTTAACCCTTACAAATGCATGCATTGCATTTGTAAGTCCTGGAATTTAGCAATAGAATTCTACCTTTTCCAATGTTAAATACAAGGAACAAAATTGAAAAACAAACAGCTCTAGGTACTTAATAATGTGGCATACAGCATCCTCACTTAGTACATGGTTTCTTGAAAGAACTATTGTCATGAAGGCATAACTTAATCATCATGGTGGCAGAAGATCCAAACAGCAAATTTGCTCTTTATTCATGGGCAATGAATGCTTAATCTATCTCAACTTTAAAATTTGAGATCAATAATAGAGGAATGATATAAATATAAAACAAGTTAAGAGTTTTAAGCTTTAGAAATTTTTGATTAAAATACAGTTGTAGTGTTTAACAATCATGCTTTTGCTACATTCAATACGATTTGGTGTATAAGACATTGAATACTGATTCTGATCTTGCAATCAGCTGATTGACTGAAGTCAATCCTTTGGCACAAATTAAAGAAGTATTCTAGTATTAATTGTTTCTTAGTCAAGATAAAGAAACTCATGTACTACAATTATGGAAGTCTACAAAGATTATGCCGACTTGACTTAAACATTAATTTTTCATTGGCCTAGATACTTTATGATGTAATAGGCCTATCTGCCAGTCATGTTCTTATGTAAATGCACTTGTCAAAAATGAAAAATTATTGGGATCATCTATCTTTTAATATACAATAATATCTGTTGTATTAAATATATTATCTTTTTTCTGGATGACACAAAATCTAAACTTCATTATGTTGTCCCAACATATTTGATTCTTGTATTTCACAATTTTGGCCCCACTCTTTGTCCTGGAAAGTAACCTTTGATAGTCTATTTTGTTAGAGTACTCTGTTGTTGTTAGGCAATATCATAAATTTAAAAGTTCAAAATCTTATTAATAATTCACTTACTATTTTATATAATGTTGTTTTCATCAATGTTACCATTTAGGGCAAACTAATTATATGGACATATTTTGGGTCCGAAACTTCCTGGAAGTGTTTGCTCTTAAAATTTTCTGTGGTTAATAAGCTGATTGGTGTTTTGGCATCATTTGGTATCATGTATTAGCAATTTGAATGAAGCCAAATGGACTTAGACTTTCTGTTGTCCTGGCTTCTTAAATTTATTTTACTAAGGTTTTGGCATAAAGCCATAGAGTATTTTGATGGACTTAATTTAGTTGCAACAGGTAGAGTAATCTAGCCTCAAAAGGACAATCTGCATGATTTGCAGATTCTATTCTATTTGTGTTGCAATCTCAAAAGAGGAGATGACATTTCACATAAAATTTATATGAAGATGCATGCCTTGATTTTTTACTATCTTGGTAAATCTCGAAATTTCAAAGGAGTTTGGCATAAATATAATAGAAAAATTGAAAACTTTCATTCATCAATTTTCCAACTGAAGTATTGCCATTAAAGCCATATTTGCTGCAATTAAATGACTCCTAGTCTGATAAAAATTGTCACACATGCTTTACACTGAGTGCATTTTGGTTTACTTGCAGACCATATTTGTGTTATCTGCATGTCTTTATGCACTGTGTCACCTTAGAGTCTGTTGCAGAATATTCAACTTATCTGTGTTGCTAAGATGGGTTCATGAATGAAGTCTACTAGTGGCATTAAATTCTACTGAGATCATTGTTGCTTTTCATTTGCTTAATGATTAAAGATTCACATGTTTTTTCCCATGGTCGTATCATTGCTATCTATTTAGTTTTTTTTCTTTTGGAAAAAAAAAGGTGTTGTGGTATACTGATCACATTGTACTAGTGTGATTACTTCATATTACATTATGTAACATGCAATAATAAGTATACCAACACTATTCCACAAAAGATACCATATGAAATCCATAAGTATTCATTATGTAAATGAGATTTAATTCCTTGTTTTTGCTAATTTTTATTACTGAAATATTTGTAAAATTTTTGAGAAAATATTATTAAAATATATTTTCACAATTATTGCAGGTATCGAGTACTGGAGGTCGGCTTATCATCTCAAGTGATGGTGTCTGGGATGCTTTGACTTTTGAAATGGTTTGCAATGGCTGTCGTGGCCTATCAGCAGATGCTGCTGCAAGCCAAATTGTTAAGGTATTACATCCTATTGGGTTCCTATGTCTAAATTGAGATCCATATTTTTCCTCATGTTTTATTTCTACATTTCCAGGATGCTGTGCACGGCAAAGGACTACGAGATGATACTACCTGCATTGTTGTCGATATGTTACCACCTGAAAAGTTAACCCCTACTGTACCACCACCAAAGAAGCAAGGAATGGGGGTGTTCAAAAATATGTTCCGTAGAAAGTCTTCTGAGTCATCTTTGCATTCAGATAGGGACTGCTTACCAGAGTCAGATCTAGTGGAAGAAATCTTTGAGGAAGGATCTGCATCACTGGCGCAAAGGTCAGAATCTTATTTGAGCTATTTTTGAAGATTTACTTCTTTTGATATGTGTTGGTGACAATTGATGCTTGAATCTTTTTTTTGTCTATGGCAGTTGTGATTGTCAATATAATATGATATTATACAAACACAATCCACAATGAAGACATGAGAGAGAGAGAGAGAGAGAGAGTTTAACTAAAAAGTTTCGCCTCCAGTTCAGTGCAATACATGTGACCTTGACGCCACAAACTGGAAAGACAAACAGAAAATGTCTAATATTGGTTAAGACAACTTGTTGGATTGGTTTAATACTTGTATATTATATGCTATTACCATGTACCATCCAGTATCACTGATAAAAAAATATATAAAAAAAGTATACAACCAATGTTGAACTATATATGATATTTAAAACATCTATTTTCTCTATTCATCTCTCCATCTTTTTCTCTCTCTTTCTATTTCACTTCGTCCTCCCTGGTGTCCCTGATGTCTCCTCTTCCCTGTTGCATCACTGTCATGCACCTCACTATCAGTATGTGTCATCACCACCTTTACTCCTCTTCCACCTTCTATTCTTACTTCCTACATCCTCTCCTCCACCTCTTCTTACTCTTGCCTGGAAACAAAGGGAGAATTAAAAAGCAAGTCATGCATTGTGAGTGGTATCTGCATATGAAACAGCGCATTCAGATTTTTGCATTTTCATTAGTATGAGCAAGCATTCAGACTTTGCAATACACCTGTGGAAGAACAACTACAAGATATGTTTGATGCTCTGTCATTAGTTATCCATTTCTTTGGACACGGTGGTAAAATTCTTGTTTTGTGAATTGCAGGCTAGAGGCTGACTATCCCATCCGCAACATGTTCAAACTTTTTGTCTGTGCAGTTTGCCAAGTGGAGATGAAACCTGGTGAAGGAATTTCTGTCCATGCTGATGATTCATCAGAACCTGGTAAGTTGCGACCATGGGATGGTCCTTTCCTTTGCCAGAGTTGCCAAGAAAAAAAGGAAGCAATGGAAGGGAAAAAAACTTCAACAGGTAATACCTATTGATGATAATTTCCAGCTCTTTTTAGGTTTGCACTAGATTGACTCTTTTAACCCTCTATTTTAATATGTCCAGATTCCATATCCAGAAAGAGCTCCGGAAGTGAGTAGTCATTGTCCTTGTTAGTGTTAATATGTAACATAGCTCAAGCTTTTGTGCATGTTCTGGCAATGGGAAGATGCTGGGATGCCTGTCTTTGGGAAAAGGTTTAATGTGAAAGGATCACAGCACCTTCGTGAGGGATTTCGTATGAATGGATGTTCACATTCTCTCCCAAGGAGGTTGAAACTGGGCTTTAAATTGTAGAGCTGCCTGTCTTCCAGTGAGCACTGTATTGATGGCCATTTGAAGATCATGGGAAGCAATACCGGGTTCATCATTGCTGTTACTCTGGTCATAGATGTTCCGATTGAATTCAATTATTTTCCTACCATGTATTTGAGTCATCATAAGAAGGTAAGAGTACCGTATATATAGCATCCGATATGTCATCATAGTGCCTTGGGGAATTTTTCCGAATTTCCAACCATACACTAGGCAAGGGTCAAAGCCTCTTGCCAATTAGTTCATCTGATATATGGATTTCTTGATTTTTCCCTTCATTAGAAATTTAGGATTTTGTGGAAGCTGGCTCTGAAGTCCCTGAATTTGGCTAAATTCATTCAATTCATGATCTTTGGAATTCTCTTTTTGGATGTCTATTGTAAATTCATAACTCTATCTACGTGCTATATACATATTGTGGTAAGAGGCTGCCATTTTTGTTGGCTAGTGGAAAATCGGGGTTTATTTGTATGTATGCTTGCATCTAGTGATCTACCTGAAATGAATCGAACATCTGCAAGTAAACATTTTTCGCTAGAGATGAACATGCAGGTCGCCCCACCTTATGCAAACCAAACATTTCCTACAATTTATTTGTCTTATGAACACAATTTCCTCTCTTTTGTACCCAGAAAATTCGGAGACTAGTAAGATGTTATGATAGAGATAAATATGTTTTCATTAGTGGTGCCACATATTATTAATAGAGAAAATGATGATTAGAAACAGCAGGAAAGTAACTCGATTACTTTTAATGATATGGGAAGAATGATCACTTAGAAATTGTAATGGAGAGCCAACTATGGGTTTTCTTTCTTGAAATATATGTGAATATCTGATGAATATTCATCAGTATATAAGTAACCCTTATAATGTTCAAAATCATCAATAGAGGATACTAACAATCATCATTGAGTCTATTTCAGTATGGAATACATCACAGGATATTAATCATCATCAGAGTCTATTTCAATACGAACACATCAGAGATCCTTCTTTGAAGCAAGACAGACCCTCTAGAATCACTTACCTCTCACAATAATAAGTGTCATCTTGCTCGTTAAAATATTTGCAACCAAGAAAAATAATTCTCATCATTACATCTATCATAATCATGATTCCATGATCATCAAAATTTAGTTTGATCCATATAAGGATTGGTCTTTTTCATTTAAAATGGTAAAGGGAAAGCCTCGATTTCATCATTGAATGCAAGTAATAGATAATTTAACTTTTGAAACTCTAATTAATATTAATATCCTTTATCGACCTCTTATAATAATTAAATTATTATGAGTATCTAAGGTTATATTAAATGTTAAAGGGTAAATTTACTATATCAAAACTTTGCAAAGATAAATATGTAAAACCATATTCGTTTGACCATTCATATAACTAGTATAGAAGATCGGTGCATGGACTGTCCTATACTGGACAATACAGGTATATGACTCCAGAGTGAAACAATATTTGTCATAATCAATAATGATAGGATTTCAATCGTTACCCATTGGGGGATGAGATTGTCTTATTTCAAATAATTAATTTGATTGTCTAAACTATAAGAAAATATTTTTAGATTCTTTCTTCCTCTTTTTTCCAACTCATTTCAATTTCTCAATCTCTTCAACTCTCTTAATTTTTTTTTTACTCACATCTCTCTCTTATTCTGACATTTTTTACTTTTTTTACTGTCAACAAACCTATGATTTATGGTTTGAATCAAATTTGGAAGGTTAATTTGAAAAGAGTGAGAGGAAGAACATTCTAATCAAGAGGTATGTATTTTTGGTCAGAATGTAATGGAAGGAGTCGGATAACATTGAGTCAGACTGCTTTGAGAACTAGAGATACACAACCATCATAATCGTTTGCTCAGCGTGCAAAGGTAAATACAAGGAGGAAAGCAGTAGCATCAATCATACTATTGGAAAAAAATTCAAGTTGAGTGACGAGATATCCCACTCAGTCTAGAGACATAACAAGAACATGGATAGTAGTATCTCGATCGATAATGGTGATGATGCTGGCAAGTCAATGGTCTAATATACATACTTTGAAGGTGCATATATCTTCAAACAATATTTTACACATATCACCTAAGATTTAGATTATAGAGTTCGACGAAATATTAGTCAAATTTATATATAGAATGAGAAGAAAAAAGTAGTGGATCATTTTGAGTATATGCGATAGAGCTTACATGATGTAGACATAGAGTGAAGCTTGTTTATATTCACAACAATTATATTATAGAAAATCTTATGACCAATAATAGTATGATGATAGTTAGTCAGTCTTTTTCGAGTAGTAGCATGATGATCGATCTTATGGTGTATAATAATAGATCAGTAGTGAAAGTAAAAATTTTAACATTTTTCATACTTTGCACCAATACATGCCACAATCGTCCTTACTTCAGAAGCCACCCTAAACACATGTGGTTCATAACAATCAAATTATGATCATGACTATATTA